ATCGTCGTCATCACCACCACCATCGCCGATAGCATCACCATCACCATCATGATCATCATGTTCATCACCATCATCATCATCATCATTATCCTTGTCGTCATCATCATCATCATCAGCAGCATCACCAGTGTCATCATTCCGGCCATTGCAGCCATCAGTATCCGAGTCAGATGCAAAATGGGCGTTGCAGTAGCAACGGGTTTCACATGCTGGAGGGTCTCTGGGAAGCTGCCACAACCATGAGTTGAGCTTCGTCTGAACTACTTTGTGTTTCCCGCCGCAGGGGGCGAGATGGAAAGCACAACCCCCTTTTGCCAACCTGAAGACCTAAACCCTAAACCCTAAACCCCTAAGACTTGGAGGTTCGTGGGTAGATATAAGCAGGGTAACAATAATTATAACCCATATTAGGGGACTTCTAACCCCACGTATAACTACCCATGAACCTTCAAGTACTCACCCAGAGGGACCGGATGGCTGGCACTTCATCAAAAAACACCCCATAAATCCCTCCTAGACCTAAGAGTAACCTAGGAATAAAAAGGGTGCCCTTTTTGGTTTAAAGGGGTTTATAAGGGAACCTAAGCCTCAAAAAAGGGAATAAGGGCCTACTTTGGGTCCTAGCCTCAATGTTGGATGCCATAAACAACTACAAAACCTTTAAACCCTTGGAAAGCTACAGAGCCCAAGCCCAGCACCAAGAGATCTTCAGTTGGGATGTTGCGCCACAGGAAACGGAGCTCTCTACGCCCACCCCTAAACCTACACTCCTAAACCCCATCCAAAGCCTCAAAACCCCAAACCCAAAACCATTCCCCCAGACCCCCAAGAGGAACCCTAAACGGCCCTAAACCCCTGTATGAACCCTGCAACCCCGAAGAGAAGGAACCCCAAACATTGCACTTCCTAGTATGATTCTCTTCTTCAACAACCGGGCCCCCAAAAAAATCAAAATTTCTAAGCTAGAGCGAATATACAAGGCCAAACACTTTTTAAGTTCCTCCGTTCACTGTCTAAGATGATTGACCCTTTGCCCTAAACCCTAAACCTTTAATAGAACCCTTATAGATCCCTCAAAGGAACCCTTAAAGGGTCCCATATCTTCGGAAACTCCCAACCCTCAACCCTAAGATCGACGGACCCTTGGAGTCGTTGGCTTCTACTGATCCAAGGGTAAAAGGAGGGACCCCTAGGTAACATACCCTCAATATAGCTATTATATACCCATTATATAGCCCATTACTATACTGAACTTAGAACCCTAGCAAAAATTGTAATTTTAGCTGTTTCTTAGGGAAAAAATAGCCAAAAATTAACACTTATTTCTAAGTACCCCTAAGATTATAGGGTAAGGGTCCCTCCTTTCCCCTTTGAACTGAAGCTCAGTCGGGTCTCTACTTGGATGATCAGGGGGCTTAGTAAGTTAGGGTTAGAATTAAGGTTCCTTAAAGGGATCTATAGGGTTCCCTAAAGGGATCTATAGGGTTTAGGGTTTAGGGTCTACTTGGGAGGATCAGGGGACTTAGTAAGTTAGTTTATTAGTACCCTAATTGGGGTTATAATTGATGTTATAAGTAATCATAAGTGGGGTTATACTGTTATAAGCAATCATAAGTATGGTTACCTTCATTTTAACCCTAGAGTTACTAGTCCCATGATCCTTCAAGTAGGCCTAGGGCCACTGAATCCCGCGGCTTCCGGCCGTAGCTTTATTTCGCTTCCTATATTTTGGCGCTTCGTTTGTATTGCTGGTGGTTTTCCTTGTTTCATGTTTTTGCCAACATCCTGTTGTGTACTCGCCTTTAGGGGTTTCAGGGTTTTGAGAACGTTCAATGAGTGTGTCCTACTTGGAGGTTCATGGGTAGAACGGGTTATAAGTAGGGTCACTCTATATAATTATAACCCATATTAGGGGACTTCTAACCCCACTTATAACTACCCATGAACCTCCAGGTAAACCCGCACATAAACTCGACAACCTCAAGCCCAACCTTGCTATCAGCCCCCGGGACCTCATGCGGGTCCGTGCGTTTGCAGGAAACACGCTGGCTGCATCGGGCATCTCAGCGCTTCTTGAAAGACGCCACCCGACATTCCTCCGAAAAAGGCCCTGGTGAAGCAGGGGCACCCGCGAACCCGACGGCTTGGAGCGGAGGCTTGCTGCCTACTGGTTAGGATAATGTTTAGGGGAATTGGGGTTGAGGGTTTAGGGCTTAGGATTTGGAGTCACTCCTGTCCAGATTGCTGTGCTTTAAAGCCCTGTCTAACCTACCTGTCTAGCCTGTCGAAGACAGCAAGCTTATCAGTTTTCATTCCTAGAAGAACGGAAAGCAAGCAGAACAACTAGACCACGTACAAACGCGGTGATGTCAGGGATTAGGGCCACCAGGGTTTAAAATAGGGTCCTTTCTTATTAGAATGGGGTATTGTGGCCAACTATATACACTAAGGAACCCCCAAAATAGTGTAGTTAACTATTAAGGCTCCTACGTTAGGGTTTAGGGTTTAGCTGGGGAAGGTCGATCAACCCGATCTCCGCATTATCAACGGATGCAGAGTCTTCCCTACGGTTTAGGGTCTGGGGTTTGGGGTTTAGGGTCCAGGGGTTGAGGGTCTGAATCCACCAGAACTTGTTCGAAGCTTAGGCCTGTCACGATCACATGAGGCAGGGTTTAGAAAGGGACATCCCGGACACACACCACCAATCCCCTCTCTTTACACTCTGTATACAACACACACATAAATATATGTCTGTGTGTATATGTGTATATGTCAAAAAATGTGTACATATATATATATATAGGTGTATATACATATATATATATATATATGTATATACATATATGTGTCATACTTCAATAAAGACACTCGTTTAGCTTGGTTGAACCCATAGTTTTCGGCAGAAGGTTCTTCCGAAAAGGATCTTCAACCTAGGCATCGCATTGCCCTTCATAAGAGGGCTATGCCAGATAAGCTGAAGCTGGATTCGTTCTCGTGGACGTCGCAGCATTTTCGGACCTCAGTTTGGAAACTTACCTGCTGCTTTTAACCTTCTGACCACGGTAGGACCGTACGCGTTTAAACAAACAAATGGGTTCATTTACAGTGCACGTATTCTTTTCATCCATGCATCTGCAAACCCTAAAAGTCCATGTACTCATATAGTATATACATTGGCCTTAAAACATTGGGCCCAAAGTATATGCTACATGGGTACATGGACCCTTAGGGAAAGTTCTACCTGTCTACTAGACCTTAGAGTAACCTAGGAATAAAAAGGGTGCCCTTTTAGTTTAAAGGGGGTTACAAGGGAACATAAACCCTGAAAAAAGGGAAGAAGGCCCTACTCTGGCTCCTAGTCTATCAGACTATCCCAGGAAGCCCTTCAGTTTATGCTCTTAGGTCCGAGGAGGGTGTTTTGAAGTTCACAGCAGACTCACTCTGAGGCATAGGCCCCAAAGTAGCTCCTTTTTGGGCTTACCTTCTAGGATTCTATATACTTTTTGGGATCACCTTCTAGGATTCTATATATGAACCCCTAAAAAGAACTACTTTGGGGCCTATGGGTAGGGGCACTAGGACCGGCTGAAGGTGATTGAACCGCCGTTTAGGCTTGGCTGGTAATTACCCAGAGACTCCAATATCCCTTAATTAAGGGATATTCCTTAAGTCATATTAGGGATCCTTTTATAATTTAAGGACTATTCCTTAATTAAGGGATATTGGAGTCTCTGGGTACCTCCGCTGAGGTAATCCGCACTCCGCATACTTGGCAAAACCGCAGCCCTCTGAGAGCCAAACACCCTGAAACCTCCGATCGAAACTTGGCAAGCCAGTGTTACAATGCTGACATTGAAAACTCTTAATTAACCCCGTGTCATGAGATTGTTGATCCCGAGAACCTGTTATCGAGGCTGATCAAGGGCAGTATTGACGAGGGCGGGATGAAAAAATTGGCGCAACCTCGCAAGGTCGCAAATTCAATGCTCTTGAGGCCTAAACCTCACACGGTGAACCCTAAACCCGGATCACTGAACCCCAAGCCCTGAACCCTAAACCCTAATCCCTGAACCCAAGCCCTCATGTCTGCTGGCTGCTGGACAGGGCTTGGCACAGTCCCTGCAGCTCCCCCATCTGTTCATGCAGCTCCTGCGAATGCACACTTAAAACCATTTGGGAGTTTCCGAAAATTAGGGATACCTTATTTTGGGTTCGTATAATGAGGATCCTACTGTTTAGGATACTATATTAGGATCCCCCTGTTTTTGGGAAATTCCCATTTAAAGTCGCTACAGGTTTAGAGTTAGGGTTCAGGGTTTGGGGTTTGGGGTTTAGGGTTTAGAGGGTTTAGGGTTTAGACTTCGGAGTTAGGGTTTAGGGTTTTGGTGAGTTGAGATGAATCCTAAACCAAGCTGTGGGTATTTGCACGATGCCATTCTTGACCTCCACGTGCAGGGCTCCTTTCGGTACAGTTCTTTAGGGTATAGGGTTCAGGGTTTAGGATTTAGGGTTTGCGTGGGACAGGCGTCACGGCTCGAGGCAAGCTGATTGTGGTAGCTCTCCGATTTGGAGTTTCACCACTTTCCTTGCCATACCTGACCCCAGCGATCCTTCGCGACGAGTGCTGCTCCTGGGAGAGCGCACTCACGGCCTGTGGCCTTTCTTGCTGCCTGGTGACAGCTTTGGAGAGGGCGCTCCTCTCCCCCAAGGGCCTCGCCCCGCTGCTTTTCAATAAGCCGTGGCTTGCTGCCTTTGGTATTTTCTATTCTGCCCCTCGGGGTGTATGACTGCTCGGCGCATCTACACTCCTCTCCTGCCACTGGCCTTGGTTGGGTTTTTGCTGATATTCTGGGGAAGCTGCCAACCTGACAGGGCGCCGCCCGCGGAGCCCGGCGTGGCATCGCCGAGCCCGCAAACAGCGGGCACAGGCACGCCGTCGTCTTCATCGTGGACGCGGACAACCGGGAGATCGGGCCCTACTTCAGGCCCATCACGGAAGCATGCCCCCGAAAAAGGGAGCCAACGATCAACCCTCCACCAAGGGTGGAGCTGGGAAGGGGAAGGATCGCACCGAGGCCCAGGTCACGCGTGTCGATTTTGGCCTGCCGTCCTCCATGGTCCAGACGTTGCAATCAATTTCGTCGAGGGCAACACAGGACCTTTGGGGACAAGGATCCTTTACGACAGATGGTGCAACAGTGGAACAGTTGGCACAGCGAACAGCCAACACCCTGGGCCGCCTTTCCAAAAGACTCAATGGCAACATGCGCGCCAAAAAGGACCGACAAGATGCGCTGACAGCCTGGGTTTCTATGCTCAGCCAACATTTGTTGGGCCTGACGCATCGAGTGGATGCCCTGTCTCGCAAGGTGGACGAGGACACAATTGCTGCAGCCGAGGAGCTCCGTCATGTCTCGGCAGCGCAACCGTCTGCAACCACCAACGAGCAGCTGGCGAGAGCAGAACAGGCCTTGGGTCCTGTTTGGACGGATCCGCAGGTGCAGGAGGTACATCGGCTCGCTGCTGCCCTCAAGGCGTTTGCTACTACGAACCCTTCATCGCTGGACATGCATCCTGGCCCTGGGGGCTCTGTGGCTCTTTTGCCACGTGGCACCCTTGGGGCCCCCCTGCAGCCGGCCACTGCTATGTCTGCAACTCTGATGCCACCGGTCCCGCTTGGCCCACCTGCAGCACATCCTGGTGGCTTTGGGAGCGGTGGATCGGAGGCCAGCTTCGGGACCCCAGAACGCTCGACAGGCGTCGGAGAGTCGGAGGCGCGCAGTGGCAGATGGCGCAAACGCAGTGGTGGCGGCGTCGAGCGGCCCTCCAAGAGCCCCCGGCGCGATCTGCCACGGCCTCCATGGCCGCGGGAATCTACAGGCCGTACACCGGAGGCACCTCCGCGAGCTCCGGTCACTGTGGTGGCAGACGAAGGCCCCGAGCTCCTCCCTGGGGCGTTGGCTGCATCTGCTGGTCCATGGGTGGAGGCTTGGATGGCCATGCTCCGTTGAAGTGCACGGACGTCTTGCCGCGGGTCCGGCAAGGACTTCTGGTTGCCAGCTTGCTGACCACAGGAGGCCTGCTGGATCCCTTCTCATTTGCACCCTCTACGGCCCAGGAATGGCTGTTCCCCAGCCTCTTGCTGGAGGCCGAGGTGCAATTGCGCGGCTTCGTCGCCCGGGATGCCTCACAGGACCCACGTGTTCAAGTCCTACTGCGCCTGCCTTCCCCGTTCCTTGGTGCAGCGCTGGCCGAGGAACTGGACAAAGAACTCGAGTGATACTGGACTATGTTTCTTCGAGTCTGCTCTGCTGCAACGGCGTTGTCGCACTCAGCCCAGCTGTCAGTGCTCAAGAAGGCGGCGTTAAATCGCCCCTTTCTTTGACCACTCTCAGCCTTTTCCTAGGGCGGTGCCTCATCTTGTGCATAGCTCTGTACAGAGTAGCCGTTGTCAGTGAGCGTTTCCTGGCCACATACGGACCTCAGCTCTCGTGGCGCCGCTCGTGGCAGCTTAGCTGTACCCTGTCAGCGACAGCTTGGTGGGTGGCAGCTCTCTTTGGGCCGCCTACCTCCATGTTTGCCTGCGCTTGCATCAGTGAACTTTTGGCCTTCCTCCCTGGTCTTGCCCTGGACTTGGGCTCTACGCGCCTTGGCCATCTTTGCACTTGTGCTTGTCCTGGCGGCTTCGCTTCCCGGCCCTGCATGTGGCGGAAACCCCTTTGGTTGTCCTTCGTGACCCGCTGGGTTACCCTTTGTCTTTCTGGGGTCGAGGATGCTTGGTCGTGCACCCGGAATGGGACTCCGTGCCGTCGTGTTGGCAGCAGTCGCTGCAAAAGCCGATCGGGTGCTCGTGTATCTGGCTGCCGTCGTCTGGGAACGGCCCTTTTCCTCGGCTACCTCTCGGTTGTGGATGGCTCGACTTTGCACCTTGGTGTTCTCCTCGCAGCCTCCTGCTCGCGGTTTCCGGAGGCGGTGCAACTGCATGCACATGGGTTTCATGAAGGACGTCCCGTTCTCAGCACAGGTCCTGTCTTGCCCACTCCCTCTGTGGATGCTATGTGTGAGGTTTATCCAGTCGGCCGGACTGGTAATCTTCTTCTTCCCCGCACGGACCGCAACCGCCGACACTTGGCTGTCTTCGTCGGCACTCCTCCGGGAGCGCCTGTTCTCGAGCCTTGCCCCGTCCCGTTCCTTGTGGATGAATGGCTCCATGGTCCTCTCCTGCACGCTCGGTTGTCCGCCTCCCTTGGTTTCATGGCGAACACCTTCTCGGTTTGCCCAATTCGTGGGGTACTGCCCGGGCTCCCAGGTGAGCAGCTCCTGTTGTCCCCTGTTACCTGCACCTGGCGCCAGGTGTGGCTCCCGGTCGACCTCAGGCAGCTTGGAGGCCGTGTTTGCATGCTGCTCTGCTCTCGCGACTCCACTTGCAGGTCTATTGCTCAGCTTGCCATGACAGCCCAGGAGGTTCGTGCTGACCTGGATCGCCTTCTTGCGCGATGTCAATGGGGGTGGCTCACGCTAACTTCCCAGCCTCTTTTTCTGCAAGATGTTGACACTTTGCAGTTTCAGACTGGGCCAGCGCCGGAGTCCCTGCAAGGCCCTGTTGGAGCCTCCCTTAACCCTCCCATTTCTCTTTTCTCGGCTATGCAGGTCAGCCTCCCCACCTATCCTACAGGCCCCGAGGTTTTCCACGGCCGCTCTCACAACCAGGCAGTGCTAATAACCCCCAATGGCCTAGTATATGTTGAAGCTCCGGTCTTCGCCGACGCGGCCACTTTTCGTCGCATCGTCGCTACGCAGGCCTCTCCCCATGCCACTGGGGGGACCATGCGCATCTGGCAGCCGCTGCCTTCCCTCCCTTTAGTCCAGTTTCTGGAAGTCCACTGCATAGGGGATGAGGTACCGTGCATCCTGGACTTTCGTCCAGTTGGCTGGCGTCTTACCACTGTGTGTGTGGTACCGCCGGTCACTGCCGTCGCCGCCATCGGTGCTGCCTCCAGGAGAGAGCGCAATTGCATTCCGTTGGAATGGGTTGAGCAATGCTCTAGAGGGGGTTTCGGGTTGCTACATCGGGAGCTAGTGGTTTTGCCTGATCAGGTCCTCACCGGCAACTTCCCTCTAGTCTTAATGTTCTTCCCACATGTCTTCCGACAGGACTCCTCGTCCTCCTCTGAGGAACAGGTAGGGGGCTGGGACGAACCTGATGCCTCTGGTGCTACCGATACTGTCATTTCGATGCAGCACACTTTGCTGCCGTCACCAGCTAGATCTCAAACAGCCACAGCCATGCCGGCTTGTACCGGGATCTCCCCGGCTAGCTTTCTTGACCCGCCTGCGGCCCTCCTAGAAACACCTGCGCCTCAGGCTGATGCGACGCCTGGGTCTGCCTTTGATGACGACCCGGCGCCTTCCCACGCGCGACCTCGGCGCCTCTGCTTCTCCAGCCTCCTTCTTGTCTTGGCTCATGGCGGAGCTCTTAGCATGCCGTGCTGCGCCCGCAGCTACATCCTCATAGCACTGCTTGGTTTTGTGCCCTCCTGCACCGTTCACCTGCACAGCGAACCAGCTTCTCCGCGTGAGGTTGTCGTCTCTGCTGCCAGAGCTACGGATAGTAGAAGGGTTGCAGCGCCAGCCAGTATTCACGCTTCTCTCCAAGCTGTTTGGCTTCAGGAAGGGGACTTCGGCGAAGGTCCCTTGTGGAGGTCACTTCCGGTGCAAGAGAGGGGCTATCTGATTACCTGTCGGCTGTGGTCGCCGGGCACGTCTGTCAGGCTTGAATTCTCCGGTTTGGGCTCCGCCCGTGAGGCTGCTGCCGAGATTTACCGCCAGGCCATTCGTTTGGGGCGCCCCCAGGTTGTTGCTGCGTCTGCAGGCCCCACCAGTGACGCTATTAATTTAGTCACTCTCCCTCAGCACCCACGGATGCTGACAGTGTTATTTGATGCTGGCTCTCAGGTTGTCTGTGCGGAGTTACCGTCTGATTACACTGCCGCTCAGGTTTTGCGCATTGCGCAACAGGCTTGCGAGGCGGAAGAGGTGCAGATCTTGAAGGGCTTTGCTCATCGCCTCCGACACGGCGATGTTGTCCGGATCGCGGCTGGTGCCACAGCTCGCACACTGGATGTGTCAGCCTTTGTTCTCCCTTCCGACTCTGAGACGGCATCCCGCTGGTTACAGACTTCTCGGCTGGTCTCCATCCTTCACCCTAGCGACGGAGTACTCACCTTTGAGGTCCCGCGCTCGGCCGATCTGACCACCCCGTTACTTCGGGCCCTGCTTGGCACCAGTATCCCTGGGAAGCATGTTTTCCTTGAAGTGCCAGGGGCCGACGCCCTGCCCCACTCCACCTTTGCTGCGGTGCGCCCGGGTCAGGACTGTATCATTTACAGGCTCACCGATGTCCACGACCCCTCCGCGGTGGGGCTTTTCATGGCCTTCGCGGGTGTGTTTTCGTCCTTCCCAGTGTTTCTCGAGAGTCTCCTCCGGAATTCAGGGCCTGCAGCCCTTCTACTGCGGACGGTCCAGCCTTTTGGGCTGTCAGTGCTGTCTTGGGAGTCTTCCCCCTTTCCAGGACGGGAGGACTGCCATTTCTGGGTAGTGCACGCCCCGACCTTGTCAGTCTCTGGTGCGACGCGTGGCACGTCAAGTGCTTGATAACTTGCATCCCGGGCTTCACCGCATGGGCCCTTCGAGAGGGCAGCAGCCTCCTGGGTATGTGCACTCCGGCCCCTTCGTGGGAAGCTGTTGCCACCGCTCTTGATATCTCGCTGTGGGAGCTTCCGCACACGTTCCTCTCGGATAACCAGCGTGTCTGGCCGTATCCAAGTGAGCTCTCCGCCGTTGCGACTCGATGCGTCAGCGTCGGCTATGACTCGCATGAAGGAGTTGCCCAACTCTGGAAACAGTGTCAACACAGCAGCCCGAGCCCATCGCCCACCCCCCCGAGCTTGGCGTCGGCGGCACTGTGTCTCGCCGGGCTGCGCAGCACTTGGGTGCCTAATGGTTGTTTTAGCTTCGGTTGTTAATGCGGTGCAACTCTCTCTCCCGTCCACTGCCCTGCAGCCTAGGACCTTGCCGGATGGCTGCCTACAGCTGCGCAGGGACTTCGCCAGGCCTTGCACGATGTCGTGGACGCATGAGCTGAGCCGACAGACCTATGGCTTCGCGGTAGCCTCCCCACATCTTGGGGCCTACATCGCTCGCACTTGCCCTTCCTCCGAGGTCCAAATGCACCTCTGGCTTCCCGGACAAGGCCCTATTCATCTGCGTGTGGCGGCGCAGCACCTAGGTGCCCACTTAGGAGCCTACTTAGGGGGTTTCTTGCCGGCCTGTGAATACGGTCTCCACGCCTTCGACTCTAACCCTCAGGTTCTTGATCTTATCATCGCCCCTCCTGGTGCAGCCGCGTGGTGGATTGTGAAAGATACGATTGGGTGCGAACTGTTGCGACCCGTGGTACAACACTACGTCTCGCATTGCTCCTTTTTCTTCTGTGCCATCGAGCCTGACGGTGCCGTCTACAGCGTGGAGCCATCAGCAGAAGTGAGGTTCATGACCCCAAGCCCGCATGGAGCCCGAGCCCTTGTTGCTAAGGTCCTTCCTGGTCTCGTGGGTAGGGTGGTTGACGGGGTCCTTCAGGTTGTAGCCGCCAAGGCGGGCTCAATGTCGCTTGCGGGAGGCTTGGCTCTTCTCTTGCTCAGTGGCCAAGCCGCCTCGATGCAAACCGTTCCGGAGCTGCCCCTGGTACCAGCCGTTGAGCCGCCCACTCTGCCTGCGATCATGCGCATCTGGACCCTCAATGTCCGCCAGCCTGTGGATCTACCATGGCGGGCCGAAGGTTACCCCACCAGGTGGTTGCGTGATCTCATGCGCCGTTTGCACAGCATCGATGATCCCGGCGAGTTTCGGTCCACGTGTGGCCCCCGGGACAGCGGCGTCCAGCATGTTCTGTTTGTACCATTAGTGCCCCCCACTGTGCCGCGCAATCGCTTTTGGCTCTTGCACTGGGGTGAGGCGGCCGTCGTTGCCTTTGGTCACACCCCCTTCAGTTGGGATGTCGTCTCGGCACATTTGCGCACGCTCTTTCCGGGGGGCCAAGTCCCCGACCGTTGCCCAGCCATCGCCTACGCCGGTGCCTTTTATCCCCCGGGTGCTGCTTTGCCAGACCTCCCGTCTGGGGCAATTATCCAGCTTCTAACCGGAGCTCTGGCTCGTGTCCCCAGTGAAGACGACCCTTGGCATCCTGAACCTTATGTTGTGGACGGCCCGTGGTTCCAACATGTCCCCAGCAAGGGACCTGCACTCGAGCCCGCAATTCTCATTGATGCTGGGGGCAGCAGGCGGCCCGACGGCTACGTGCCAACTACATTGGTTGACCAGGGCACTCAAACCGATCTGTCGGGCAACGGTACCGGTCTCGATCATGCCACAGTTTCTAGAGTGCACTCTCTGGCCCAAGAACTCACCTTCCACACCTCCAGGCTATGGGCTGGCCTTGCCGAGCCCGACGCAGAGCCTGCTGACTGCGCCGGGCCAGTCTCTCGGCCCCCCGAGATCACTGCTGCTGCTGCGGCCTTGCCACCCGACGTCGACCTATTGGATATGGGCAGCCCCTCCGGTTGCCAGCGGGGAGCAGCGAGCTCCTGGGCCCTCTTGGTGCTTCTGGGGACGCTTGGTCACCCCCGCCTTGGCCTCCTCTTCAGCCTTCTGCATGTCTCCCCTCTTTGTCGGGGGTCCTATATCCTCCCGGGGTCGGCTAGCTCCGATGAAGAGCCTGCCCCTAATACCTCTAACTCCGACATGGTCGCGGTGAATATGTCGTCTGCTAGCTCTGCTCCGACACCATTCTCTCAACCTGCAGGGCCACCACCTCCTGATCCTGTCAACGCTCCCTTTCAGCCCCGGCTCCTCTTTCTGCGCGCGGCCCGTCCACTGGAGGACTATGCTTTGGGCCTGTGGCCCTCTCCTGTTGACCGGGAGCCGGCGGCCGATGAGGACGCCGTCCGCAGAGTGCACTTTTGCAGCGGCTATTCCGCTAGGCACACCCTTCTGCATTCATAACCCCTTCACGGCTAGGCCTCAATGTGAGATGGTCGAGTACGCGGCCGGCCCTGCGATCAATCCACTCACGCTCTTTGCCAGCCATGCCAGACATCGCGGGTGGGCTGGTCTTGTTCTCCTTCAGCCTCAGCCAGATTCCTCCGCGGTGCACCTTATCGGATGCCCCGTTGCTCCGGGAAATGCAGCGGTAGGGATAGTTTTTGATGACCGCCTCATTCCTTGCTGCCTGCCAAATTGCGTCCCTGTTACCGCCCTCGGGGCGCTTGTGCTGGAAGGCCACGCTTGTAACCTTAACCCCCCGGAGTTCCAAGAAGGCTCTGCTGTGGTCCAATTCCGCAATGGCGACTGCTTGGCTGCCCGCCGCTGCACTGCTCGCACGGCTGCGAGCCATCTTCTTCCTGACACTGCGACTGCTTCCCACCCTTCTGCCACGGCTGCAGCAGGCGAGGCCGACACCGCGGCTTCTTCCGCTTGCTGGCCTCGGGTTAACCTTTGGTGGGGTCTTTTAGGTTTCGGGCTACTGGGTCGAGGCGCCTCTCCTCTCTTCACCTTCGGTCTCTTCTTTGGAGCCGCCCTGGTATCGGGCATGCATCGCCCAGGAGGGTTCCCATGGGGTGTTGACCCGGCCAACCGTGACTTCTCAGGCATCACGGCCGACGATCCTGTTTACGTCGTCCTGCATAGCCCTTTCCAAGGAGTCTTCCCCCCCTATACTGCCTCGCAAGAGACCCGGCACTCACAAGTTTGGGCGCAGTTCCTTAACGACGATCCGGGTTGGGCTTCAGAGTACTTCCCGGTCTGGCCAGGACCTGCTTTCAACGAGCTGTCGATCGTTCCGGTTGGACAGGATGCAGCGCTTGTCACCATCATGTTGGTGTGGCGTGGCCACCACAGGGCCACCCTGGTGCCACGGACCATGACGGTGGACTGGCTCACGGCCTTCATTGCCCGTCACATCAATCACCCGGTTGGCGGCATCTCACTTCCCCATGGCCTTGCTGTTAGCGAACTTTTTGATGTCCCACCAGCGGCTTTCCGCTTCCGCAATGGTGACGTGGTCCATGTCCATGATCCACCCGAGGATCCTTCCGAACCACTGGAGTTTGTCGAGCCGTGGCACCTTCAGGACGGACTTGCGGCACATCACGCTCCGTGGGCCGTCGGATTTCAGCTCATGTTCGGCATATCTGTACATCTACTTCGACCCGAGCGGCCACCGCTCCTGGCCTCCATTGCTGCCGGCGAAGCCTGGTGTCCAGAGACTTTCACTTTTTCGGGCATGTTCCAAAACCACTTCCCCGGCATGTGGACGCCGGTCCAATGGACCCGCGCCCGCGCCCTGCAGCTGATCGAGGTTAATGGGGTTGCAGCTAAGGTCAACATCGTCGCTGCCACTCCGGAAGGCCGGTTATGTCGTTCAGTTGACCGCATCACCTCTCGTGACCATATTGCCTCCCAGCTTAACTTTCTCCCCGCCACCATTTGTGTGGGAGGAGTGCCATCATATGCCATCGACCAAGCGGGGTTGCGAGCCTCCTCCCTGCCGGCAGCCCTCGGGCCTTATCTCTTGGCCGCCTCTATGTGCCTGCCTGCGGCCCATGCCATGCACATGCAGGCCTCTGCCTCTTCAGCCCCGATTCCTGTTGCCGCTCCCCCCCGCCTCACCGTCACAGTTGCCAATCCCTTTGCCTCGTGGGCCCGGGCGGAAGTGGACCCTCAGCACCTGTTCGATGCCGTCATCGCTGATGCGCACCACACTCTCACATCATGGCATAAGGGTTTTGCAGCTACTGGGCTTGTCCTTGATGGAGCCCAAGTCGTGGTGCCGCTCCCAGGAAGTCGCCTGGTCTGCATCCTTGTTGCGGGTCTCGGGCAGTTACTATGCGTTGTTCTGCCCGCTTTTCTTACCCCCAGAGACCTGATGCAGGCGATCCAGATGCGCCTTGGTCGCCGCGTTTGTGTTAGCCTGCCCCCTGGTTTGGCAGCAGCCGCTCGGTCCGCCCGCCCGGTTCTTGCACTCCGGTCAGGGGATGTTGTTGCTGTCCACCCCCCTCAGCTTGATCCCCTCGCTGGTCCACGTGAGCCGCCTGTTTTTCTCACATGGGGCGCTGCCCATACGGCCGCGGCGTGGCACTCCGACTTCGTTGTGGCCCACGCCTCTTGCGTTCTCCTGTGGTCCCCCTGCCGCCCTGCGCGAATTGCTCTCCTTGGTCATCAGGCCAGATGGGATGCGGCCGCGGCCACCGTGCAACGCCACGAGCACGAGCTCGGCTCTCACCGTTGGGCCCCCTGCCACGGCCATCTTGGGGCCCCTCCTTGGCTTGTGGAACAGTCCGCCGCCGAGGGGAGAGCAAATATCATTCAATCTCGTGACTCTACTCGTTGTATTGAAATAGCACGGGATGCCGCCCATGATCTTTATATCGATGGGTTTTCGCTCCGGCCCGCCACTAGTCGTGCCTGCTCTGTTGCCAATGTGCGTGATGGCGACTGGTGGGTGCTTTCAGCTGCCACCGGCCTGTTCGCCCGGCGGGGTTCCTTGTATGTTCAGCTCGCCTGGTTTGTTTACAGCTTTGCCACCCAAGGCTGGGCTGTGTCTTCCGGTGCCTCGAGCGGTTGTCCAAGCGTCGACTCTTCCGAAACTCGCACCATCCGCACGAGGCGGCGCCCGAGCCGCAGCCGATCCCCGGCCTCGCCATGGCCCGGCCGATTCTTCCCGCCCAGGGTCGACTTCAATGACGGCGAGCCCTTTGTCATTCAAGGTGGCTGGCAACCGGACTCGCCCGATTGCCCTCTTGCGCGCTGCTTCCCTGGGCCGCGCCCGCAAACGGCCAGGGTGCTTTGCCCCCTTCGAGGCTGGAGTGAGGTGTTCTTTGCCGACCTTACTGCTACGTGGAAGGCTATAGAACTCGTTGGATCTCGGCACTGCGGAAGCTGGGCGCGCAAGTTTTTCCCTGTACGGTCGGTCCTACCGCTCTCCCAAATCACAGTTGCACCTGTCGCGCCCTACGGGCTGGCTACTGTGGTCTTTCATTTGGAGAGCTGCTCCGCTGTTGCTCTCGCACCGGTTGACTCGAGCCTTGCTGATATTCACCGCCTGGCCACTCGGGTGTTCCCGCATACCCGTTTCTGGCGGGTGGTCGCCCCTCCGGTGCTGAGCGCCGCCAACCCTCACACTCATGTACGGTTGCGTAATGGGGATGCTTTTAGTCTAGTGCCAGAGAACTCCCAGCCGGAAGCCACTAGATTTCCCCTCCTCCAATACACTTCCCTGGAGAGGGCTAGGCAAGTCGCTAGTTGGTCCCTTCCCTTCCGGTTTGATGTTGGGGGTTCGGTTTCTCTTTGGTACACTAATCGCAAAGTCGGCCATTGCCTTCGCATCCGCGATGCTGGCTATTGGAATCCGGATGGACCCACCTTCTGGAGCCTTAATGGCGAGGCGCTTTCGGGATCTTGGGTACCGGTCCTCATCGGTGACCTCTCCAGCCTCCATCTTATGCATCGGACCTCGATTGGCAAGGCGCATGTGCTTTTCCTGTTTCCCCCTGACCTGGAGCCAGTGGGAAGACTCCTTGCCGGCTGCAACGTTTTCCGCACCCCGCCGGGGTGGCGTCTCCTACCAGCCCTGCAATGCGTTCGTGCCGACAGCTCGCTTCGAGATGGCGATGTTCTGGTGCTCAACCCTACAGCCGACCTTGTCTGGGATCCTTTTGGGCCACCCCCATTAGTTCCTGCTGAACCGGAACCAGGGACACCTCCTGCCGCATCTCCGGCTGCTGCTCGTCCTGCTTTTTGGGCGCCTTTGATTGCGCTTCTCGCCCATTGCCCTAGATGGACGGCGCTCGCTCTTTCTCTGCACATGGGTTTGAGTATGGTCCCGGTTGCCGAGGTCCCGGAGCAACCCATCCGGGCTGGCCTCTACCCCTGGCGTATGTCGCCGAGAGAAGCGGATCTGGTTAATGTGTCCTCCGGCACCGAGCTCGATATCGTCTATCTTAGCCCGCAGGAAGCTGGGCGCCTCCCAGCCGCAGCCCCCATCTCCGAACTCAGTGCTTTGACCCGGGCCTGTGATCCGGTATGGGGTGCCGACGTGGTACCTGTGTGGCCGACTGCGGCCACCCCGGCCCTGTTGGTGGTGCCGCGGCCACTTACCCCTGACCTTGTCTGCCTGGCTGTCACTTCCTTGGATCGGCACTTTTCGGTGCCTTGCTTCACGTCAGTCTCCTGGCTCAGCTCTGCGTTACGGGCACTGCAGCCCATGCACACGTTGTCTTTAAGAGCGCCTAGCTCGCTCTCTGCGGATTCCACCGCTGATCAAGCGGTTCGATGGCGCTCGGGTGACCTTGTTGTCGCTCTGCCACCCACTGCCTTTGCGCCGGACTACCAACCGCCCTGCTTCCACACAGACGAGCAAGTTCGTCACTGTGCGATCTGGGCCGTGGACTTTTCGGTCACGGCCCGAGTGTCTTTCATACTCTGGCGGCCTGGCCAACGTGCTATTCGTGGTCACGCGCCAGCCGGATCCCAATGGAGAGCTCTCGACTATACATTTGCTGGCGACTTTAGCCTCCACTACCCGGGTCGATGGGTGCCGGTCCCTTGGATTGCGCAAGAATTTGCTCACTTAGTTGTGCTACCGGATGACCCCTCGAGTGTCAATGTCGTTGTGGAAGCGGACGGGCACTGCTGGTGCGCTACAGTTACCGCCGTCACAGATGCGTGGCAGCTTTGGACGGACCTGCCCACGGTTTCTAGTCAGCGTCGCGTCCTAGGGGTTCCTCACCAAGAGCTACGGCAAGGGACCACCCTGCGTAGCGGGGACATTGTATCTGGTACGGAGCCTGCCTTTTCCCTCAGGGTTGCTCGAGGGGCCTTTGGCCTCGCAATGCTACACGCTTTCCGGGACAGTGTGGGCATCTTAGCCCCTGCCATTCTGCTTGCTAGTCCCCTGGCACCCCCGGTTGCCACTGGGATGCGCCTCTCTGGGGAAACTGAGGATTGCCACAAACGCACTCCGGATGCCCCAGCGCAAGCCAGAACTATGCACCATCAGGGCACGTGCCACCGTCTCTGGGACCCTGCCGGTAGCATCCTCGGGCCCTTTTGGGGACCTGCTGCCGTGCCCCCTCCAGCCCTGCAGGACGCTGCACCGGCGTGGTCCTCCTTTACCCAGGTGCGACCGCCACAAGACCACCGTGTTGTGGACTGGGTCCCGATCCCCTCGGACCCTTATTTGCCACTGTTCTCCTTCAATGTCCGCCAGCCACCCGGGCAGCGCTGTTACCGGCCACCTGTGCGGCTGCTGATCTCACTAGGGCGTGCAGGCGCTCGGCGCCGGACCTCCCCCAGGTTCTTGCCCCGCCTGAGATGTGGTGCGGGTCCGCCCACTCCTCTCACCCGACCCTCTTTCTACGCTCGGGCGACGTCCTCACACTCGCTGGGGCTGAATGGGTCCCCCGCCTGCGTTCGCCTGTTGGGCGCTTCTGGGAGACTCTCCAACAAGCCCGGCAGTTTGCCTTCTGGGGGAGCCCGTTCAGAATTCGGCAACCCGGTTTGCTCTTCGCATGGTCTCCTGGGGAACCGGCACCGCTCACTGTGCCCACGGACCGCAACGAGCAATGGGACCCCGACCATTGTACCTTCCGGCCCACGCTCGCAAGGTTTAGTGTGGGGCGCTGGATACCCGCAGACCGCAGTGATGACCTCGGTCTTCATCTGGTACCTGAAAGCCCCAACCTCCTATGGGCCAATGTCTTGTCCCGACGACAGCCGCTGCATGCTCGCACTGTTCCTAGATACGGATCCGGCGGGTTTCTGAGGGATGGTGATAGCAGCTCTCCCTGTTGCAGCGCTCCCTCCCCTCTCCTTTTCGGTCTCATAGGCGGTTTGTTGTCCCCTAGGATGTCTAGGTGGTCCTGGTTCGGAGCTTTGGGTTTTTGGACGTTGTGCTGTCGGCCGCGCTCGCCTGTAGCGCTGTATGGCTCCACCCCTCCGGAGTATCGGGCCGCAAACCCGCCCAACTTGGATAGTGGTCTATTGGCACGTACCCGCTGTTACCTTCGAGCCTGGGGCGCCCCCTCATGGTCCAGCTCGGACGGTATCTCCTGGACAGCCGACCTTCATGAGGAGTGTGTGGCGCAAGCGTCTCTGCACCAGGTCTGGTGGTCGCATGACTTGTTTCCCTGTCTCCCTGCCTCTGCTCCGGCCTCTTACCACCGGGAGTTCTCCAGCTACCCGCTCTGGCCAGGCGGCGTTCCGGAACAGATCTTCATCGCTACGGATGGCAGTGGTGAGCACGGTGGAGCTTGGGCCTTCTGTGCCTGGGCGTGGTGGCGCAGCCGCTGGTATCGCCGTGTTCGGAGCTACTGGCGCTGACCTCCCGTGGTCGCCCCAAGGGCAGCCCCCCGCCGGCCTCTCTTTCCATGCGGAGCTGTGGGCTCTCCAGGCTGCTGGCCTGTGGCTTGTTGCATGGGTCGACCGACTCTCGCTGCTCACCTCTTCCGCGCCTACTCGGGTCACTATTGCAGTGGATAATGCCGCTGCCCTTCAGATCGCCGCTGGGCAGGCGCAAGCCGGCGAGAATGTCACCACTGACACTCGTTACGTGTGGCAGGCTGTCCAGTCTCGCCTCACAACCCGCTTTCAGCATGTGCACAGCCATGTCGGCATCATGCCGAATACGCTTGCCGACTTTCTTGCTGGTTGGGTGGGGCAACGCGGGTGGCGGCCCTGGAAACAAACTGACCCCACTCTGCCTGCCCTCTTCCGCCAGGCCGGGCCTTGGCTATGGGCTGTTCCCCGAGCGCGGGTTCAACAAGGGCGGCCTTGCCTTCAGCTTGTCTCGGACTCCCTTCCTCCAGCGCCTCAGACGAAAGAGCCTTATGCCCAAGAATCCCCGTCGGCTGGCCCCTCAGAAGCCCCGGTGCTGGATGAGCCTCGCCAGCCAACCATGACTTCCCCCGTCCCTCTTCGCATCGTTACGGCTAATGTCCAGACGATGCATGATTCCCGTGCCTCCTTCTTCAATCCGTCGGGACACGGTCAACGCCGCCAGTACTTGTACTCCCAGGTGGATAAGCTGAGCCTCGACATTGTTTGTCTGCAAGAGACCCGCAGCAAAGGGGGACGCTGGGATACTGCCGGTTTGCTCACCTGGCGGTCCGGGGCCGCCAAGGGCAGCTATGGCTGCGAAATTTGGGTGAGACCACATCTCACGAACCCGCCACTGCGCCTTGACGATTGGCGCATCACAAACGCCACCCCCCGCAGCCTCATCATTGTGTGCAAACGAGCTGACTTCCCGCTGGCCATCGCGGTGGCGCATGCACCCCACTCTGACAGGCCGGCCGCGGAGATTCATCAATTTTGGTCCTCACTGCAGGCCTCGCTGTGCCAGTTGCCTCGGACCCTAACACTTGTTATTGGCCTTGATGCCAATGCCGACCTTCTGTGGGCCGATGAGGACCACGCCTTCATCGGGGACGGCCTAGGGTGTGGTGAAGAAGGGGCTGGCGAGCAAGGCCTGTTCGATACCATGCAACGCTTTCGGCTGACGGCCCCAGCCTCTTTCTCTGATATCCAGGTTGGCCCGGGCTGGTCTTGGGAGCACACTGGCGGTACCCGCAAGCGTCTTGATCACATCCTGCTTCAGGCGGGTTCCTGGCAGTACCGCCGCTCCTGCCAGCTCCCTGAATTTGATATTCTGAACGGTCGGCGCGACCATATGCCCTTGCTTGTTGAATGTGAGCTTCGGGGTCGACCGGCCCCTGCCGCGCGCTTGCGCCCCCCTCCACGGGCAACCGCCTTGCAAGCTCAAACTCTTGCGGCTGATCTCTGGCAAGGACTCTCTCCATCCATTGGCGCAGTCGTGAGTGTCGGCCATGAGGTCCAAGCCCTTAAGCGGCGGCACCTCCGTCTCCTGCGAGCTCTCCCCAGCCCGCCGAGGCGACCCATCCGCCAGCCATATATTTCTTCCTCCTCTGTGGCTGCTCTCGAGAAGGTCAGGCAGGGTCGGGAACAACTTCCCGCTTTGCGAGCCAATGTCGAGTGGCAACAGCGGCGTTTTCTTCTGCAGGTCTGGCGCCACTGCTGTGCGCGCCCCGATGCCAGCACAGCTCGCCCCGACCCTACGGGCCTTCAGCACGCTAGGCTCTTGCTCCAAGCTTGCAACTTGCATGTGCGTGGCCTGCAGCAAAAGGCACACTATCTCGCCCGCGCTGACAAACAAGCCCACTTTCGCTCCCTCACTCTTGCGGCCGCTCGGCATTGGGAGTCTACTGGAGTCCCTCTTGAGTCCATCCGGCATCTCCGTTGGGCCTCTCGTAAGTCCCACGAAAGGCGAGCCGTCCACGCGGCTGGGGGATATGACATTGACCCGGAGCTTGAAGATCAATTTCGCGCCCAAGAAGGAGCCAGCAGGGTTGAGGCCGCGCAATTGTCTCAGGCTGCGGTCAGCTGGATGTCCTCGCCCTGCCTCCCTTGCTTTGAAGCGGTCCCCTCTCTGCTCCAGCTTGAGCAGCTCTGCATCCGCCAAGCTCCGGCTAAAGCCCCTGGGCCGGATGGACTGCGTAACGAGCTCTGGCGGTCGCAGGGCGCCCATGCAGGCCGCTGGCTTTGGCCCCTGTGCGCCAGGATCGCCCTTCAAGGCCGAGAGCCTTTTGACTTCAAGGCCGCCATTGTATGCGCCCTTTACAAAAAAGGGCCTGCATCCCTGCCGGCCAACTATCGCTCCATTGCCCTTCTTAATGGCGTTGCCAAGCTATGGCACTCGCACCTTCGGTCGACCATAGGAGGGCACATCCTCTCTCGCTATGAGCCCATGCAGTTGGGAGGGCGTAAAGGGGTCCACACGGGGTTTGCTCTCGCCGCTTTTCGGTGCGCGTGGGACCTCTCTGTCTCAGCTGGGCGTTGTTTGGCCGTGGTCTTTGTTGACATCCAAGCCGCCTACTATGAGGCCAGTCGGGACTTGCTCTTTGACGGCTTCGCGGCAGATGCCCAGGTGCCAGAGCACCATCACCTCGCAGGTCTTGTCTTGAAGCTTCAGCAACAAGGAGCTCTTGCTGCCCTGGGGGTCGCGGACGATGTCGCTGCCCTGCTCCGTGACTGTGTTGCGCTGTCCCACTGGTCCTTGTCGGGCTCCTCCAACATCTTCCTTGCCTCCCGTGGCTCTCGTCCCGGGGATGGCTTAGCTGACATCCTGTTCGGCGCGCTCTTCGCGGTTGGATTGCAGCACATCCAGCGTGCCACCGCGCAGCTCGGCATTACTCACACCAGTGCTGGAGTTGAGGTTGGCCTACCGCCCGGTGTCAAGCCCATTGGGTGGGCTGATGACCTCGCGGTCCTAGCTGACTTTGACTGCCCTGCTGATTTGCAGGCTCAGCTTCCCCAGCTCGTCCGTGTCATTCTGGAGACCCTCCGACTCCTTCGTTTCCGGGTCAATCTCGGCGCGGGGAAAACCGAAGCATTTGGTTGACATTCGAGGTGAAGGGGCTCGGGCGGCCCGTGGGGCCCTGCTGAGCGGGGACGCACTCCTGCAGGTCTCCGACTCAGACTCCATCCGTCTCTGCCCGGAGTACAAATATTTGGGAGTTGCTCAACTGCCCCGGGATACTGGACGTAGAGACTGCGAGCTCGCGGCGCAACGGGGCTCCGCTGCGGCCTCGATGGCTCGCACCCTCCTGTGCAGCAACTGCCTCCCGTGGGAGCTCAAGCGTGCTTGGGTTGCGGGCAGAGTTCTCCCGTCGGCGTACTCCTCGCTCGCTATGTCTCTTGCGGAGTCGGGCAGAGCGACCGCGCCGCTGGCAGGCCTTTTTGAGCGCACGGCCCGCATTCTCTTGTCCTCGTGGCAAGTGGGGCACAAGCTCACCACGCCGCTTCTCCGGCTCTTTGCTGATGTCCCTCCACCTGACCTTGCGACCGTGATCAGCCAATGTCGGCTGTGTGTGCAATTGTTTTGCAAGGCGCCAGCGGCTGTCCGCGACATTGTCGATGCCGCCTGGAATCGGGCGCTCCCGTGGTGCCAGGCTCTGGTTTCGGCATGCATGCGTGTGGGTGCGTCCCTTGATCTCTGGGATCCGGAGCAGCCTCCTGCTATTACGGTTCTCTTCGTGCAGAGTCACGGGCGTGCCCTGCTCCGAGCCTGCAAGTCCCTGAGCAAGTTCGGTCACCGCTATGCTGCCTGCGCCCAGCTGTGGGACGATCTCTCAGCTCGGAGAACCACACACGTGCTCGGAGCCGCTCAGTCCTATCGCTGCCCTGTCTGCCAGGACATCTTTCCGAGCCTCCATGCCGTCCGGGCTCACCTTCACCGAAAGCATGGTGTCCTTTCCGACGTCACTGCATACATGGCGGGTTCTGTGTGCCTCTGGTGTATGCAGGACTTCCACTCCTCAGACCGCCTGAAGTACCACCTGCAAACGCAGCGGCCCTGTTTGCACGGGCTTCGGGTCACTGTCGGCCCGGTGTACCAGTACGGGTCCGGCACTAAGCGCAAAGGCCGCGCGGCTCACCGGGGAGTTCCACCGCAGCGCCTCTGCGGTCCGTGTAATGCCACCCCAGTTCAACGGCGCGCAGCTCGTCTCGGGGTGCCAGTTACCGAGGCTGAGTTACAGGAGGAGTGGGATGCCGTTCAACGCTCGCCAGCCCTCTCGGACCTGGTTCCTGGCAATCTGCACCGTGTTGCTGCGGGGTCTGCGTCTGCTTCGGCGCCGGTGGCTGTCCTCGGTTCTCTTGGTGAGGACGCCGCCTCTTCTCCCTTGTTACAGAGCCCCGCGTCATCTCTGGTTGGTTCACTCGGTACCACGCAGCTCCAGTGGTACTCGTTTGTTGAAGGTGCGGCTGCCTGTGTTGACTGGGCGCTGCCTTCGCCTTGGTGGCCTGGGCTTCTCGCCCTCGGCGGGGTCTTCCGCCTGCCTTCTTCCTGGCACCGGCTTTGGTCCATGTGGTCGGCATTGGAGCTCTTCTCGCCTTGGGAGCACCGTGCCGTTCGCCGCTTTGGGGTCCTTCGTTCGGCCTCGTCTTGTGGCTTGGGTGCCCCTGTGTCGCTGGCTGACGCCACTGCTGGCCGCCGGTCACTGCTGGAGCTGGCCGCCGCCCTTGTTTCTTTCCGCATGGTCTGCAAGACCGTCCACCTGCGGGGCGCCATGTGGATTTCTGGGCACCCCGGGCACCTGGGTCTTGCCCTGCTCCGCCGCCTGCTCCCCGCGGCTGTCTTCTTGGACTTCTGGTCTTCTGCTGGTCGCATCTTTCTCGCGGCCAGCTCGGCCTCCTTGGCCTCATCTGTGCGTTCGGCCCTCGTCGGCTCTTCCGCCCCGCCCTCGCTTTCCGTGCGAGCTTTCTGGGCGTACCCCGCTGCGTGAGCTGTTCACTTCCCCGTCTGTACAGCTGATTTGCTCCCTTTTCATTTCGTAGTTCCTTCCGGCCGCATCCCTACAGCAGGGATGCTTTTCGGCCTCTGCATGTTTGACTAGCACAGGACCTTCCTCTGGCGCGCGTGAGTGAGTGAGTTTGCGTGGGACTCAAATAAGTCCCCATCCGTGGCCCACTACCCCTCAATTACGGAATGCACCTCAACTCACGACATGGAGGTTTCCGAAAATAGGGGACCCTAATATGGTACCCTTTATTAGCCAAATCCTTGTTATAACGACCCCAAAATAAGGTACCCCTATGTTCGGAAACTCCCATATCAAGCTCCTCAGGATTTAAGATCCGAACGACGAAAGAACCCTAGGGTCTAGACCCTGATTCCCTAAAACCCTAATAGAAGCGATCTTTGGACTTGGAGTAGAGCTTGTGAGGTACGTTAGAGACGGTTAGAGTTTACTTCTATACGGATTATAGGTGGATAGTATTACTTGTTATTACGACCGCTGCATATACATATGTGTGTGTTATATATATATATATATATATAGATAGCGAGAGAGAGAGAGAGAGAGAGAGAGAGAGAGAGAGAGAGAGAGAGAGAGAGAGACAGAAGGATAGGTAGTGACCACCAAACGGAAGCTCCCCCTCTCCTCCATCATGAAGTTCTGGCGCTTGAGCGCCGCATACCTCAGCGAGCTACATCTGCGCCGTTCTTGCAGGCCGCTAAAGACCTTAGGAATGTTATGGCTGAAGCGTATACTGTGCCAATCAGATCAAAAACACATTTTCCACGATCGGCCGTACTCGCGATGCGAAGGGTAAGTAAGAACAAATAAAGGCTCGGGATTTAGGGAGATTTATGCCAACCCGGACCCCCAAACCTAAACGTAAGCCCCAAAGCCTAACTAGAATACCCTCATGTAACCTCATATTCTAACCACCGGCCCTAAACGTTCTAAACCCTAAACTTCCGAGACCAAAAGCCTTCACCCTCCTAAACCTTAATATGGGGGGTTTCCGAAAATTAGGGGGTACCTTATTTTGGGGGGGCCTTATAGTAAGGATCCTACTATTTAGGGTACCATATGAGGGTCCCCTATTTTCGGAAACTTCCATATTTTTTCTTCGGTGGTCTTTGGCCCCGAACGACCGGGCCGACTCTGACCAAAAATGTTGAAGGTGTCACCGGAATCGCAGCATGTAGGACCCTTAAAAACTTTAATAGGGCTCCTTTAAAGGGTTCCGATCAGACTGACTATAAGGCTTCTATGATAGAGGAGCCTCAATCATTAGAATAGGCTTTTGGGCTGCTTTATAGTATAGTTAGAATAAGGAACCATACGGAAAAATGTGGGTACTTGTTTAGGCTTCTATATTACTAGGTGGCCCTGAAGGGTTGTGGAATGGGGTCTCAGGGTAGATAATACTATCGTTGTAGAGGAACTATCAGGGACTGGTGTTGCTACTTATTCAAGCCCCATTTACTCTACATGCTTTTCACAGCATTTAGGGGGCTTGTGTCCTAAACCCTGAAACCTGAAACCGCAACCCTGCCCAACACCCAAAACCTCAATCCTGAAACCTAAGCCCCGTACCCTGAACCCTCAACCCCGCCCTGAACCCGTAAGGCCTTGCATGAAGCCTTCGAGGGTTCGCGGGCCTTCAAGGGACGTGCGAGCGCCTCTACAACAGTATGGACCCTCCATTGCAGCCCTTGAGGTAGGCCCCTCGACGGAAGGTTTAGGGTCCATGCTTACCCAGAGACCCCAAAGTAGTTCCTTGTTGGGGTTCGTATATAGAATCCTATGGGGTAGGTAGGGTCACGAAATGGCGAATGCCACGACTGATTGCAGCAGGGCACGTCCTCTCCACATCGATACGCAGGGCATTCCCTTTCAAGCGAAGGCCCTGCGACACGAACTCCTGACAGGCTTGGCGGCTTGACTGCTTGGGCAAACTTTCTTTCCCATCGGAGAAGTGGCCGCTGCCTCACATGTAGTTGCGACTGTGGTTGTTGTTGCTGCTGTTGCTGTTGTTATTGTTGTTGTTGTCGTTGCTGCTGTTGCTGTTGCTGCTGCTGTTGGCCTGTCTGCCTTGTGCTCCAAGTCGGGAAAGGAGGGTTTCAGCGTGCAAAAACTGGGAGGTTCACATGCAAAAGTCGACAAACGCCGAAAGTTACTGCATTCTGTGCTTTATCGGGGAAGCAGCGGTTTTGCCACGACTGGTTTGGCGGCATTTTTGGCGATGCTGAAGCTCAAACAAAATCGTAGCCGCTACAAGGCTGAAGACGTCTCTCCTGTGGAGAGATGTCGCCAGTGCTGTCCAAATCTAGGATCTCAAAGATCTTCCATGCTTTGTCCTGAGGAGGGGCCGTCGACGGACCAACGACCAGATTCGGGTTTCTGGTTTCATGTAGGAGTCTATTATTATTATAACATATTTATGAGAAAGAACACCCAAAAATAGCGTAGGTAATCATTTTAATTATTACCTTAAACTACCAAAGCCCTTTTTTTAGGGTCTTCTTATGAACCCTGATATGAAATTTGTAGGGGCCCTACGAAAAAGTAGGTTTTGGTAGGTTCCGGTAAGGCTCCTATATTCGGACGTTGAGGGTTGACGACTGAGAACTCACCAGGCCAGAAGGGTGGTTTGCAGCCTGGACAAAAGCCATGGAAAAATCTCAGGCAGCACTCTTGGGAGCTTGAACCCTAAACTCGAAAACCCTGAACCCTAAACCCCAAACCCCCTAAACCCTAAATCGCTCCATGAAAGCGAAGGGCCTTGTGACAAGTGGCCTACTCTACCCAGAGGCCCCATAGTAGTTCCTTGTTGGGGTTACCTTATGGAATTCTGTATGGGTGGTTGTCAAAATTAGGGTCCCTTTTTGGGTCCCTAATATAATACGGCACCTAATATTTAGGGTGCCCAAAAGGAGGCCATAATATTGACAACCACCCATATATACAGACTGGGGCGTGGTGGCTTTAACACAGCTTTCGTATAGAGGGATTTACTGGGGGACAGTCAACACAAAGGGAAGCCAAGCTTGCAGTCGAGATCGAGAGGACACTTTTTCATTCGCCAAGACGGTTCTGAGGCACACGTGCAGACTGCTACCGGCAACAAATCATTCAAGCAGGCTGACTGCTTCTTATTTTCAACGACAATCAGGCACGACCAGATGTGCAGCCTGCTTGGATGATTCATTCAAGCAAACTGCGCCTTTGAGCACGCATGGAGGGGGCATATTGGATCCCAATAGGCACCCTCCATGCCTGCTCAAAGTTGACACTGATTTACGAAGCACACATCAATCAGGCACTGGCAGCGACAGCTGAGACATCGTCACACTAAGCTGACGAGATTGTGAAACAATGACTCTATCAAGATCGACATACCCTCAGTCATGTGCAGCCTGCTTGGATGATTCATTCAAGCAAACTGCACCTGACGAGAACTCAATTAATAAATGATGAAGCACAAATCAATCAGGCACCAGGCAAGGCCCGTACTGGCCGCCCGAAGTGGCAGCTCAGACATCGTCACACCAAGCAACCTGGATGAGCAGGAAGTCAATGAATCAATGCCCTTCTATTCTACACAGCGGGCCTTCTCAATGTGTGGCAAGTCAAGTCCAGAGTCCAGGAGCTCAGACCTGGCGACATAACATAGGCTCAAGGCCAAAACAAAGAACTCTCTAACCGAGGCTAGGCACTGACAGGCACACACACTTTCCACTGCTAGCTGCTGTTGAAGGCAGGTCGAGTTGTGCACTCTGTTAGCATCAGCAGTCCCGACTTGTGGGCAGTAGCGGTCAAATAAAGACTTAGTCATTATATGAGCAAGCACTGTTTCATTCCCACATAGACACACTGCTGCCGATAAACTGAATTAGGACAGCACGGCACCGCAGGCAAATTCAGGCTCCTCGAATCGACACAGGAGTGGAAATATGTACATACATATATATATATATATATACATATAAATTAAATACATATGTAACTAGCATAGAGTCACATGGCCCAGGCCCATGCTTACCTCAGTGCTCAGTAAGCACTGAGATAAATATGTTCACTGCCGCACTGCCGGCTGCTGACTGGGTTGCATTCTGATTCTGTGCAACCACTTTGTCACTTCCTACTCGTATACAAATTACTTGCGCAAACACGGTGAAAACACACTGTGTTTGTAAAAAGCCTCGGCCTCGGTCCGGCTCCGAAGTCATTCCGCCACTCAGTCACTAAGTCGCTGAGTCACTATCTCACGGTGACGATCTTCCTCAAGATCTTGAGCTCGAGCAACCTGCTTCTTTTCGCCAACTCGGTGTGCACCTCGTTGTTGAGAGACTCTTCGATCCAATACATGCGGAACTCTAGGTAGTCGCCCAGGCAGTCTTCCCTTGGATGACAGCTAGCTGGACTTTGGTCATTAATATTTATTACAGTCACAGGGCTTTGGGACGAATCGCAGTAAGCAAAAGAATTTCTGATTTAGTATATTGAGGTGCACACACTGGTCGTAGTACAATCTCAGCCACATCTGCAGGACATAGTTGGCTTGTCGCTCCGACAGCAATTTCGCAAGCTTTCGAAAGACCTTCTGGGAGTCCGGGTCCATTGGCATTGGCATGGCTTAGGCACTTTTGCCAGTCAGAGTTTTTCACAGACACAAAGTTTGTGTCGGCCAGTGACTAGGCTTTTGCGAGTGCGAGCCACAACGCCCACTTACAACGAACGGTCCTCCCAGATCCGAACTCTAAGTCACAAGTCAAGTGCACAGCTTTCTTGAACGCAAGAGACTGCAAGACACCAACACGGAATTGAAAGATGTCCAGGCCAAACTGTACTAAAGCCTCAAGCCCTTGTAAAGCCTCGCCTGCCGCACTACAAGCTCTCGGCGTAGGTCAGTTCTCAGACGAACTCTTCACAACAATTCCTTTATCAAAATTCCTGAAGTCGCTGTCGCAAGTAAGTAAGGGCAAATA